AACATGAGCATAGCAAGATTGCTCATTGCTGAAGGCCATAAATAACACATTTGTTAGTTTGGGACATGTTTGTCTGAGGTGTGATTATAGTTATTACGCAGCAGTTTTAAGAAAATGACTCGTTTTGAATTATTCAAATCTCAGTGGATGGATGAAAGTCGGAAGCAACTGTATTTTGGAAAGAGTATATTTTCTGCAAGTCCACTCTTGAGCTGATGATTTGCTGGTTTTGGAGATTGTTGGTATACAGACAGGTTAGCAGTATTCATTGTACAAAAAATACTGAACACTGGGAATATAAAGCACTGAGTTTAGTCTCTACATGTTTGTGGCTTGAGTCAGGGCTATTAAATATGGTTCGCAAATTTAGAATTAGGAGAATAATTTGTCTTTCAAACATAAATTAGGCATACTGGACCCAGAGATCTGATTTATGTACCACCTTAACCTCATGTTAATCTGATTTATGTACCTTCTCAACTTCACAAGTTTTCTTTTAAATTTAACTTGTTATTTTCTTGCACTTCTGTATCTCTGTTTCCTTATATTAAATGTCAAATTTTCCAGCAAACTCAGAACTGACCTCTCTTTGCTTCCACTGAAGTAAGTGATGAAGCTTTTGTTGGCTTATGAAAAGCATTTTATAATGTCACTGCCTGTGAAAGTGGGAGGCTGAACTCTGTGCCCCCAGGAAATCTATTTCAGTCTTGTGATCTTATGACTTGAGTGGGAACAGAGTAAGGCCAGTGTGAGTCCTTTCGCAAATCCAGTATTAAACCTTGCCTACCCAAACAAGAACATCTGGAATAGAGAGGCTCTCTATATGGGGCATCTATAATTTCGCAATAAAAGTTACAGGGCTGGCTGAATTCAGAGTGCTGTAATTATCCAATCAAAGCATTTGCCAAAATGTGGTTTGGAAGGCCAGAGCTTAACCTATATATAAACCAGAAATGCCTTCCAGCCCATCAGGTGCAGTATGCATTTTCAGTAAAGCAGTGCCAGTTTGTAGCTGTGTGCCTTGTGAGAGCAGTTTCTAGACAAGGCAAGTTTAGATGAGCCATGCAAAGTTCTGTTTTGCCCACGTAATGAAGTGAATGTGCATGGCTGTCGGCATTGCTGGATCCGCTGCCAGGAGAAGGGAAGAAGGAAACAACTAATAGCCAAAATCTCTTTCACAGCTAACTGCTGGCTGGCAATGGCCACAGTGGTGCCATGGATGGCTTTGGGTTAAAGGGAAAAGTGGAAGTTTCAGTATATAAATCCAATCTGAGAATATGAATGCTTCATCCAGGACTAAGAATGAAAAAAAAAAACAAAACCACACAAACCTCAAAAAAACCCAAAAAACAACTCCACACGTGTAGTGGGAGGTTGCAAGGGTCATTTCTGTGAGATTCAGGGCAAAGAATAAGCAAAATAAAATGTGGTTTAGGTATGAATGTACAATCTATGGATGTTTGCATCATGAGTGGTCTCTCTTCTGTGCCTAGCATGGGCTGTGAAGTGCCCGTTGTGTCTTATATGTATTTAAAATGGATGAATGTTATTAACTTGACTCTATCCCACATGAAGGGATAAAATAAAAATCTTTTAATATAGAAGTAGGAAGCTTAGCTTGTAATCAAATGTAGAACATATGACATGTACCTAATAATGGCAGTGTGCACTCACAAGCTTAATTTGAGCACCTTCGTAAGATTTTAATAACAGTAAGCTAGTAAATTTCAGGGAAATAGGTACAGGAGGCCAAATTCAAGTGTCAGTGTAAATCCAAGGAATTAATTTTACTTTTGTGGAATTGTTTGAATATCTTTCCTGAGAGAGTAGAATTTAGCTTAGCAGGAACGCTTCTGAACATTTGACCCGTGAGCAAATGGAGGCATATGAGGGTTATGAGACTTGCCCGAGGTCACTTGGTGAGTCAGGGAAGCTGTGGGAAGAGAGTCAGTCTGGTGAAATATCTTCCAAAACCACTGATGCACCCGGACTTGTTGACTTACAATGGAATCCAGACAAGGCTCTTTTTTGAAAGAACCACAGCTAGTAATTTGAAGCTTTGTGTCTGAACCTGGAGAGATTACTTGTTCCAGTAGTAGGACCTCAGTTACTAGTACTGTATACAGTGGAAGATGGCAACATCGCTCTTATGTAAAAAGAAAGTATAAGTCATATTGATTAAAAAAAAATCTTCCCTTATTCATGTTTTTCAGAAAAAAAAAAATCGAAGACATAAACTGATAAGATATAATCTGGAAAAGTAAGACCTGGGTGGTCTAGTAGTGCAGGCAGATAATCTCTGGACAGGATGTAATGGTTATTTCTCCATCACTTGTAGTTGTTTTCTATTTTTAAGTATGTTTGTAAATAAATGGCACACATTGTCACTCTAGATGTAGAGGCTGAAATTTTCTAACACAGGTCATACAACAGGTCATATTAGATAGTTTTAAAATAGAGAAACTATTGACAATACAAAGTGTAGTGATTTCCACATCACTAAAATCACTGTGTTTATCTAAAATAATTGAGTAGTCAGTACTTAAGCGGAAGAAAGAATAAAGTGCAATGTGTCTGTTGCACAAGTCAAGCTGTGATTGCAGGGTCATTGCTCCCTTACTAGTTCAGACTCCCTCTGAATATAGTGCTGATGATGACTTTGCTACTCCGCAATATCAAGTAAGCTTGTGGTCTTTAACATATAACAGTGCAATACCAAATTAACCTTCATTTCTGCTTAGCTGGAGACTTTCAATCTCTCTTAGAAGAGTTGCTACCAAATATAACAGGATTAGAATGATTTTGAAGTGGTTGAAAAGGACCCGTGGGACCCAGTACTACTGTCTTGACTCCCATTCACAAGCATGAACCAGGACTGGGACGTTTTTGAAGTTATATGGAGTACAGTAAGTTGGTTTATCTCTCCATCAGACGTTTTCTGCAGCAAGAGTGAGAGCAAATGAGTTAGCACTAAAGTGACACCCTTGGTAATAATGGTAGCACATCAGTATTTTTGAACTTGTCCTCTGGGAGATAACCCATGCTTGAGGTTTACACTTCCTTGGGAAGGATTTACCTTGCAAAAGCAAAGACTTTTAGCATCAACCTAGAGCCCTGGGTTGTGGCAGTTACCCTGTGCTGTCATGAATTATTTGGAATAAAATAATTTTGAAATCTAATTTAACCATTACTATTCCCTGCCTATTTGCTCAAGGAATGATGCGACCACACTAGTGGTATTTTGAGTCTTGGGTTCTTATCAACTGGACAAGTATGTCAACACCAGGATTTCCAGGTTGCAGAGAGGGCATGCCACAGCTTTGATTGTGTGAACCCCAGACCTCAGCTTCAGATCTGATGTTGAGTGGTATGGTCACAACTGTCTTTCTGTGAGGAGGGGAAGGAAGGAAACTTTGTCCATCTTTGCAAGTCACCCATTTCTCAGAAGACTAAAAGAAATCTTTAGTGAAATGAACGGTCACAATTTTTGCATCTGTGTGGTGAATGAGCTCAAACAACAGGACGAGATCTGCTCACCAGGAATAGCAAAGCAACAGCTGACTCTGCTCTGTCCTCACCCTACAATTACATGGAGAGGGTAACGCCAGCCTCCTGTTTAGGACTTGGTGGCCACAGCAGGGCCCTTTTGCTTTTAAAGCATATTGAACTGTTGAAAGGAACTGAAATAATTAAAGATCCATTCTTTTCCAAGCCTTCTTTTTTGACTTCTGTTGTGTAAAATTGAGAGCCTGCAGATATTTATATCTGCATATGAGAAAAGAATGTTTGTGGCATTTTTTTTAAACCCACTGTGAAACAGAAGAGTAATTCTTGATGAATACTAGAGTCGGTATGTATGTGTATATATATGCTCACACATGTACTTGCATGGGTACATGTATATATGTGAATATACAGGTTTGTATACATGGAATACACATGTATATATACATATATACATATTTGTGTATATGTGTATATATACATACGAAATGGAATTAAATCTTAATTTTGTAGCAGTTACATGACATTAGAACAGTTCATAGAATTTCGTATAATTCTGTCTACAAAATCAAATTAAAATGATCAAAATAATTCTTGTGACCTTTAAAAATAGAATTTGTAGATCTGTGAAAATTGCGTATGCTTCTGTGGGAGTTTGATTGATTCTTGTAAGGGAAGTGAAGACAAAATGCCACATTTACAAAAACTGTTGCCTCATTTTCACTTAGACTGTAAGGTAGGGACTTGCTCTCTGTATGTAGATGTATGCTGGCAATGTAGACATCTCCATTTCAGCTACTCACATGAGATTCCCTGTACAGACAACATGGGCACCTGGCTCATGTAATCAGTGGATTCCTGGGGGTGATTTATCTCATCCTAAAGCAGACATCTAAACCAGGATGGAGACATTGTATAGTAAAACTGTCTGTTCCTCCTGATAGTATGAGAAGCCTAGTGTAATTAACTCAGATGTTAGACATCTACCTTGCAGGTGACTGAGATGAAGCATACCTTAGGAAACTAGCTCCTGTTTTAGATATAGATGTAGATGTCTGCTGAAGATTCTGGGCGTGCTCAGTCACATGCAGGATCCCCACTTGCTTTCCAAGGAGTTAGTCGCTATACCTGCTCTAGAACCTGTCTGCAAGCTTTATGACCCATGTCCTTTTAAAGTAATTAGGCCTGTTCATATACCTTTTATTTAAATCAGTTGGATTTACATGCAAACCTGGATGGAGCTGCTCCAGATTTACCTCTTTATTAACTGAATATCTTTATAAATCTAGTTGTACGTGGCCTCTGAAAATGGGACTAGACCCTCAGGTCAATCTGAGGCTTTTGAATATTGTATTTCATTTATTCACAGCTGATACAAAGGAAGGTGAAAGTCTCTCACTGGGGAAAGCCTCAATGCTTTTACTTCTATATTATTTTCCTCTGAAGTTTTTACGGATTCCTCTCGTTACATTATTTTTGTATGGTTCATTTTACAGAGTATTTGGATATATGGCAACCCTTAAATCTGTCCTCTGTTCTTATGGATTCATCCATCTCAAATTTTGAAGTTGTGCAAGTTAGTAGAGATATATCCAATGACTTCTCCACTGCCAGAGAGTTTTGTCTGTCCGGTAAGAAATTACAGAAAATACTAGTTTGTGAGTCTGAAAAACTAAGAGCAGGTCCCCCACCCACCCTGCTTCTGACCCAGATACACTGATTTTACTTATTTTTAAAGACTACCCCAGTGTTTCTGATTTTGAGAGAAAAAACCTGAATAATAAAAGGTACAATAGACATAAAATGCCATACAGTGATTGTGTAATTTTGACACCTCTTGGGCGCAGAGATCTGTTGTTTCTCCAGGCGTTGTACAACTTGGAGAATATTGTAGCTAATAATGAAAGGGGTGGTGTCACTATTTTCTAAAGTTAAGGGAAGTTCATCAAGTGAGACAGATGGTAGAGCCACCTCCCATTATCTAAAGTAACCTGTAGCTGTGGTGCGTGAGGGTAGGTTAACTGAGAGCTGGGATGAAGCAAGGGTTGGGCTGTAGTAAAAACAAAGGGAACTGCTTTAATCAATAGCCTTACTAGGACATCAAAGAGTCCTTTAATTTAACATGACTGGCAAATCCTCAGTGCTGCAGAGCAGTAGAAATAAGGAAAAATTCCCACCTACTGCAGAAGATGGTCCTTGGAATGGTCCCACTTTTTGCAGTAGACGTTCCTCACCTTATGAGGGTGAGCAGTGTAACTTACTGTTTTCTCCTTTTCCTGTTAACTGTTTGAAGGAACCTTTCTAAAGGAAAAGTGTTGGATACCCACCTATGAGTACAAACTGAGATGAGTGAGAAGATCACTTTTCTTATTCTGAAACCTTTCCCTGGGACTCCCTGAGGACTGTTTGAATTAAACTGAGGTCCTCAGTACTTTATTAGATGTTTTTCTTCTAAAATCTGTGATACCAGTTCTCTTGCTGTATTGCTCCATGTTAAAGCCAATATAGCCTTTTGTCCTTTGGCTATTTTGCAGAATGTTCTGGGAATCTCAAGACATTTATGTCCCATTATTTTGCTTTAGAGCTACTTCATGTCCCTGTTGTAAAACCTTTCTTTTAAGCATCTTACAACAATGTCATACAAAATCCTTTGAGAATACATTTTTACCTGTTCTTTTTCTTCATGTTTCACCTCACAGCTTGTTCAAAGAACCAGTCATGTACAGTGGTTACACTGGAAATTCAACCCTCAGCAATAAGATGCCTTTTCTACCCTGATACACAGATGTGCATACATGGCCTGCAAAGGCACAGCTGCTGGGTTTTACTCAAAGAGCCAGCTACATATATCTATAAGAGACAAGGTAAGAGCAGGTTAAGACTACGGAGGAAGGAACTCAACTGTGGTCACCTGTGCACAATTCTTGTGAATAGAAGAGTGAGGAAATCCTCACTAGACATAAAGCAATATGGATGTCTCCTAGACAATTGTCCATTGCTGTTTCAATGGAGTTCCAGACAAACGGGATGGCAAAATATCTCCAAATACTTTTTATAAAAACGCATGAAATCATAGTGTTACCATCTAGTGTTGAAACAGGTATAATAAAGGAAGTCTAGGCTATGAAAGATGTTTTGGAAAATACAGAATGGTAAAAACAAACAAAAACCCAGTAATGAAAGTCCAGCTCCTTCCTTTTCATCTGCAGAAGATGTTTCTGTGTGTTCTTCCTTTTAAACTCTGAGAATAACACAAGGAGTGTTGAAAACCCACTGCCAGTTGAAAGTCTTAAGGACCATTTCTGGAGAAAACAAACAAACAAACAAAAAACCCTAAACCAAGATGAACTAATATTTTAAAGAAGTGAAAATTATTTAAGAGAGAAGTAAAAGTTGTGTAGACAGTTAAAAATTCCATTGTTTGGCTATATGCTTATTTGTAACTGTAAGTTTTGGGGTTTTTCCCTTGATTTTAAAAGATACTGATTGCTTTTCATGTAATACTGATCATTTATTTTATTAGAAATAATTAGAAACAAGGTATCAATAAGAGGAAAGGGAAGAAATATTTCCTTTTCTCTTCACTGAAATTTCTGTGAAGAATTGACAAATCAAAGAGAATCTTCTATGTTCAAACTCGATCAGAGAAAAGGGGTTTTATCATTGTCAAGTGAAGCAAAATCACAGACTGAGACATAAAAGTTAGACTTGTGTGTTTGTATATATCTGTACAGTTTTGATTTTAGTCACGTGACTTATAATTTGGTTCCTACCTATCAGATGCATTGTTTTAGGAGAGAAATAGTATGAGATATCACTTAGCTCTGTTTTAAAGTAAGGCATTAATGAAAAACCTCTTCTTTGAACAGATAGCCAGTGATTTAGATAATCCTTATACAAAAAAAAATGTGGATCAAACTATGACCCCCTAATATTTAATAATTTTCTACAAACAAAAAAATAAATTCAGATAGCAATTATGTTTGATCTAAAATGTAGATACTGGCATAAATTCTGTGGAAGAAAATGGCAACATTCACAGTAGACTGCAAGGCAAGAGATGGTGATGAAGGCCCTCTGGTACCCTACACTCTTGCATTCCCTTCTCTGGCGTGTAGAAGGCATGCATGTGCCTGACTTAAAGTCAGCACTTGCACGGGTGATTCCCACTTATACAACAGCAGTCCCTACACAGGACTGTAGGGAATTTGGACGTGGGTTATGCTCATTGCCTTCTGTTGAAGCTCTTCTGTCTCACATGATGAAACAGCTACTAGAAAGGGGACTGAAGTACAAGTCTTGCCTTGTGAGAGCCCAAACCAAATAGCTGTGTGATTATCTTTTCTCTCTCTGATTTGTTATAAATGTTTAAAGGTTTAAAATTGTGCTTTTCAGAGCCGAGGGTGGAGGGGGAAGTCTGAAAATCTCTCTCCCTTTTTGTAGAAGTGCTCGGATTTGTATTCTATTGTGATGTTTGATCTGGAAGAAATGTTTGAGTAAGGGTTTGGAAAGTTAAACATTCATATCCAGTAGCTAACATCTAGCATAGCATGAAGTATTTTACAGGGAGAGAATAAAATAAATTTATCTATGTTTCATTTAAAGAAGTGAATTAGACACACAACAGTTTAAAATTAAGGGAAATGGGATTAATTTTAATTTCTGAAATGGTACTAACTTGAAAAAATAAATTATTTTTCCCCTGTTCCCCCCCCCCCCGCCCCCGACAGATTTATTCCTGCCCATTTCTGAATCGAATTTAACCCTATCTGTGTACATCCCATCCCATGGTGATCTGATGGGCAAATCCCAGGTGATCCGTGTTGGCTCAGAGTGGAGAAATATCAGCCAGTTCCTGGGGATCCCGTACGCTGCACCTCCCCTTGCAGAGAAGCGCTTCAGTCCTCCGGAGCCGTTTGCTTGGGTGGAAACCTGGGATGCTACTGTGGCTCAGTAAGAAACCCCTTCGATCATCTGCAGAAGTGCTTGTCCGTACAGGTGTATGAAAGTAGCTGGAGTGATGACCGCGATATTCATGTCCTTTCTTGCAGTAGAACGTACAGGGTACAGATTAATACAAGGTTGGGACTTTGTTTAGCAAAAAGAGTAATTTCTCAGTCTATATGTTAATGCATGCAAGCACCTCAAGAAAAGAGGCAGATTCCAGTACATTGCCTTGAATCTATGCATAACTCCTCACCAACTGTCTGCTGTCAATCCATTTTCATTCTGAGTATTTACACAGGTATTTATAATATTTATACAAACACATTTTGCTCCTGCTGAGCTATAAATTTGTAGAATATTTAATCAAACAGGCATTTTAACGCTGATGTAACCAGAAGCTGTGGGCCTCATACAGAAATTCTCTGCCTACTAGTGTCTAGGAGATCAGGCTGAAGGACACAGATAGTCTTTTCTGTCCAAAAACTATTAAAAGGCAAATACTTGCCAAATGGCTTGGACAGAAGTACAGAAGTTATAAACGTTTTAGGTAATGCCTTAAGAGGAAACAAGCACTAGTAACTGTATTAGCAGATGGGCTAAATTTCTCTTAAGTCCCTGTGTCTAATGTTTCCTGTTGGCCAGCTCTGGCTCTCCAGGGCTGTACAGACATCACTGTTTTGCGAGTTTAGGTTGGAGGCACTCTGAGGACATAGCCTTTGTGTGCATGTTTGCATTACATTAGTCTTTCGATATTAGTCTTAATTTTGTTGCGTTGGGGAATGACAAATAGTGAATGTGTATTTCTTAAAGAAAAGAGGGTTTGGGTGACACCACTTAGTATACCTGTGATGTGGAACATGTTAAGACAGTGGATTTCTTTTTAAAAAATGCCACAGCAAATAGAAATGCAGCAACAACAAAAAAACAAGATGTGAAAGTGGAGTGGTTTTTATAGTGTCTTTCTCACAGTCCATCCCTGCTCCACATAGTAGAAAGCAAGCTATGGAGCACATGAAATCCGTTTGAGCGAGCCATGCACATGTACACAGAAGCTGATACAGGACAGCTGGTACCTGATCACGGTCCTATCAATAAAAAGCAGACTGTTTCGTGGGTGACATCGGGAGCTGCAAGGAAAAAAAAATGATAGAAGCAACAAACAGGAGGTTGAAGATGCAGAACAGTCAAAAGAAAAGAGTCTGATGGAAGGACTTGGTGAACTTTCTGCAGAGAGAGTTAAAGAAATCTGGGCTAAGAGCTGAGGTTTAGCAACCCAAGAGCTTCCAAGGCAGCTAATATGGACCTGTGGTCTATTGGGATTCTGTGTTATCCTTCCGGCCATGGCTGGCCATGCAGTCCTGTTCAATTCCTGGCACTTGAGAGTGGTTCTCCTGTGGTTAGTGATGAACTCCTTGAGCTAACTGATCTGACCAAGAGCTTAAATGATTAAGGAAATGATAGATTTTACAAGGGAGCTGGGAGGCTGACAGCCTGCAGACCTGACACTAATCACCACCTGCTTTGATAGAAACACATCCTGAGGCTACAGATTTAGAAACCTGTCAGCTGCGTGGAAGCTATTTGGTCCCTCCATTACTCAGAATTTGTCTCCAGAAGTTTCTAGGAAAG